AATTTAAATGTAACCACAACAATAACATCTAATCACGTTAAATAGTCAACACATTATATGGTTAGTTGTAAGTAAATCAAAAGTTTAAAATGATTTTTGTAATTTTGAAGTAATTAGTGTGTTGATTATCTAATAATTAAATGAGATGTTAAATGAATAAAAAGTAACGGTTTTTGGAGGGAAAATTTATATTGCCACATAAGTATAATTTAATAGGTTTTATTAAATGCTCATGAGCCAACAATTATATATATATATATAGATTTATACAGCTATTAATCTATCTATAAAAACACATTTCACTTTTGCATTACACAAACAAAATCTGTTTTCCAATACCCAAACCAATCCCATCAAATTCAATCAAGCTTAATCAAATTCACCCCCAAATCGTGTCAAGGAAAAACAAAGTGATGGAAATCGCAATGGCGTTGAAGGCGACCGAGCTCAGATTGGGATTGCCGGGCACCGACGACGAATGCGTTTTTCCCGGCAAGAACAACAAGCGAGCCTCGCCGGAGACGGCGGAGGTTAATATCAGCAACGGTTCTAAAGGAATTTCCGTCAAATCGGGCGAGACCGAGTCGACTTCGCCAGCTCCCAAGTAAAAGCTTGTTGAATGTGTTTGCTAATTTGTTAGGGTTGTTTTAATGAGTAGTCAGTGCATCTAACCTGTTTGATGAAATGTCTGTGTGGGACAGGGCCCAGATAGTGGGGTGGCCGCCGGTGAAGTCCTACCGGAAAAACAATGTACAAGCAAAGAAGAGTGAGAATGAGTGGGGGATGTTTGTGAAGGTGAGCGTGGATGGGGCGCCATTCTTGAGAAAGATCGATCTGAAGCTCTACACTGGATATGCGGAGCTGCTCGAGGCTCTGGAGGCCATGTTCAAGCTCACCATAGGTGGTAGTGGTACACCCTCTATTTGAGTACTTGATAGAAATGCAGTGGTAGTGCATTTTCTTATGATGGGGTTGTGTTATATTGTATTTGCAGGCGAGTACTCGGAAAGGGAAGGGTACAAAGGATCTGAATATGCGCCGGCGTATGAAGATAAAGATGGTGACCTGATGCTGGTGGGGGATGTTCCATGGGAGTAAGTTCATATTCTTTCTTTCTCAGTCTCTTTGTCTCTCTTTCTGCATGGGTATGTGTACTAATTAAGCATAATCGGCTAGTAATTTGTTGTTTATCTTGCAATGTTGCAGAATGTTTATGTCAAGTTGCAAGAGGTTGAGGATCATGAGAGGCGCAGAAGCCAGAGGATTGGGTTGTGCTTCTCTGTGAGGACAGTTTTTCATGTTTATGTCAACTGAAGATGCATTTGATGGTATATCTCTTGAAGGGATTTATCATGATCAAGGCTTGGGTTCTCGACGAACCTTTAATTTTTTTTTTTCGATTTTATCCTTTTTTATTTGTGCTCGCTGGCTCGAGGGGTTTCGGAGGGAAAACCATATATGTAGTATTTAAATATTTATAGTGATGATATACCTTCCCCCTCATGAAGAAACCTTGGTGGTTTTTTTCAGATCATGTTGGTGGTGTTGTTGAATGTCATTTTTATGTTTTATGTAATAAACCCATTAACCCAGAAACATATACTTAGGTGGTGTGGCTATCAATTCATGTTGCTTTCACAGATATTTGTAATTTTGTATACAAAATAGATACATTTTATTCAGATTATTTTAATTTTTGTTTCTCTGATTTTTCCTTCGGTTCTTTGCTTTTTCTTCAACTGCTGCAATAATTTGTTTGGTGGTGCCAGCTGCTCAACTTACAAAGCAAAAACAGCTAGAAAAATATGATGCATATAATGTGATTCACAGTATACATTCAGGTTTTCGTTGTAACGTATAATTTTCGTCGCTTTGTAGATAGAGATGTTAAACAGGCTAGCCCTTGCGGTTTCGGGTTAGCCCTAGTGGGCTTCGGGCTAAACGGTCCGGGCCTAAAAAACCCGAATTTAAACGGGCTACCAATAAAAGGACTTAACCCTAACCCTAGCGGGCTTCGGGCTAAACGGGCTATAATAATAATAATAATAATATATAAATACATATAAGTAAAAATTACAACGGTGAGTTCACGATTGTTTTTCAACGGCTATTTATTATTTACCGCTCTATATATATACATTTACACTTCATGTATGAACACTGGTTACAAACTTTTAAGTGACATGTTTTTCCCAAAAGAAAAAAAAAATATTCAAACTATTACTTATAATTACCATTTACTACTTATTTTTGTACGCTTTGAAAATTTTCACGATATTGTATCTTACTGCTGAATTTATATTCTATCATTATGTTTTATGTGTTAGGTCTTTGTCTCATGTGTTTTCTATTAATCGTTCTAATTGGCTTAAATAAGTTGGTGTGAAGTAGAAAACGAAATTGTTAATAATTATCTTTCAAAATCATAATAACTGGCTACAACTCATAGTTACATATGAAGTAGAATAGTAAAGTTATAATATACAAGTTAAACGGGTTAGCCCTAGCGGACTTCGGGCTAGCCCTATCGGGCTTCGGTCTAAACGGTCCGGGCCTAAAAAGCCCTGATTTAAACGGGTTACTAAAAAAAAGCCCTAACCCTGTTTTTCTTCGGGCTAAACGGGTCGACCCGTCGGGCCAAGTACCGTTTAACATCTCTATTTGTAGAGATGGAAATATTAAATATTCAAATATACAATAATGCATGACTCAATTTCCAGTTATTAAAATACCGTATTGTACTAGTCGGTAATACTGGATACCAACTATTGGTGCGGTACAATTACACACAAAATATCGGATTTACGGTTACACCAGTTTGTACTGGGATCATACCGTAAAATACCGGTCCAGAATACCGGTCAACAAATAAAAAAATAATTATTAATTTAAAACATTAATTTAAATCTGTGGTTAAAGTGTTTTATTTTTATTTCATTGAGAAGTTGAATATAATGAATATGGTCGTTTATTTTTTTTTCTTTTTTGCATTTGGTATTATACATTTTTATGTATATTTATATGTATCATTATATTTGCTAGTCCAAAAATACCACCAATATTACTGGTTCGATCGGTAATACCGCTTGCTGGTGGCTAGACCAGTATGACCACCGGGGTATTTAAAACATTGTTCATTTCTGTATGACTTTCTAATATCAAAATTCACAAAGAACAATTTAGCTTCCTCTACATCATGGTTAAAATCTTTTTTTTCTCTGCATTTTCTTTCTAAGTAGAGTTAAATGGATCAGTAGAGATAAAAAGTATAACTATGTAACTAATCTAAGGACTTTTACATAATTATGAATGGATTTTTTAATTTTATGTGTCTAGTTTACTGTTGACGAAAATCTACCTCACATTCGTGTAAAATAATTAGAGACTTGAACCTTCTAGGGTCATTCATGTAAAATAATTAGACTTGTGACCTTCTAAAGTCAGGTAGTCCTCATACATACCTGATAATATCCTTTATTTCACCATTACATTGATCAAAACTCTAATATCAACCGTACATCTATTGTCCGAGGCAAAAGAGTATGTGGAGTGCCTCGTACATCTCGTACATGGAAAATACATATTATACACTTACTTTAATTTAAATTATAATTTATTATTTATTCACAGATACTTCTAATGGAGCCTTTGTCTGAGGCTGATAAAGCATTTCCTATGCTAGTGAGGTTGAACAACAGAAAACCACAAGCTTGACATATAATAGCCAGTTTGAAAGTTCAACAATGGTTAGAAATGTTGCTTCTGACAGATGAAACACAGGAAGAGGAGGTCACTTTGTTGACAACAAAAGCCCTAACAGGGGAAGATGAGGATATAGGATGACAAAATAAGAAAAGGCCAAGTTAGTGTGTGTGGGTATTGCAATGCACTAGTACATGAGATGTTAGAGTGCTTTAAATGACATGGTATACCAAAAAGGTACACAAGCTTAAAGAGCAGTAGAAACCAAAGGGATTTGCAAATGCAATAATTGATAAAATGAAGCTCGGTCTTCTATCTCAAACAATAGCTCACAAGGTTCTGGAACTCCAGCTGATCTATCCTCACTCATACAGCAAGAACTGATGAATTGTTTTTGCTCAAAGAGACCTACTGAAGTGAATGAACATGGCTATGTTCATTTTGTCAATTCCACTGGTACTGATTATACTCAATATGCTTTAAGAAGCAGCAAAAACCAGAGGGATTTGTAAATGCAGCAGTTGACAAAATTGAAGCTCAGTCATATATCTTAGACAGTAGCTCACAAGGCTCTGGAACTCCACCTGATCTATTGTCATTCATGCAACAAGAACTGATAAAATATTTTGGCTCAAACGGACCTACTAAAGTGAATAAAGGAGACTATGTGCATTTTGTTGATTCTGCACTTACTGATTCTACTCTGTATGCTTTACGTACAATTGAAGGAGTTGTAGTGGCTCTTGGGTGTTAGACACTGGTGCAAGTAAGCATATGTGCATTGGCATAACATTGATTCATGATGTGAAACCCTTGTTTGCATCTTCCTAATGGAACATCATTCAGAGTTACACATGGTGGTTCTGTTAAAATATCAAACACCATAACTTTTCATGATGTATTTCATATTCCTGAATTCAAGTACAAACAACTTTGTATCCAACAACTTACAGTTCAGTCAAAAATTAAAATGCACATTCACACCAACCTTTGATGCTTTACAGACTTTAAGACATATGAAATTTTAGCATTGGGCAAATTGGTTGGGAAACTTCACATCCTTCACAACAAAGTTCATTTTTCTTCATATAATCCTAAAATTTCATGTTATTCTTCTATTGATAATGATTCCTTGTGTTTCTGGCATCATGTGTTAGGACATGTCTCATTTAGTGTCCTTGAACATTTGCATTTCCTCAAAGCTAAATGTACTCATGTTGATGTTGATAAAATAAAAAAGTGTGATACTTATTTTAAAGGAAAATTTGATAGATCTTCCTTTCCTATGTCTCATATCAAATCTACATACAATTCTGAACTTCTGCATCTTGATATTTGGGGTCCATGTAAGGAACCATCTATCACAAACACTCCTTTCTTTCTTACGATAGTCGATGATCAAAGAAGGGATAATGACTAAAATGGAAGAGTGACGTCCCCAGTGTTTTGAGACAATTTCTACATGATCACAACTCAATTTAGTGCCAAGATAAAATTTAGGAGGAGTGATAATGGGTTGGAATTTCTGAAATCCATGGGGATCATATATTAAACCACCTATATTCACACTCCAAGGCAAAAATGAAGCGGTTGAAAGAAACATAGACATATTCTAGATATAGCAAGATCAATTATGTTCCATTCCAGTCTACCTATTCATTTCTGGCCATACTCCATCTTGTATGTTGCTACTCATATCATAAATAGAATACCCACACCACTTCTTAAACGGAAAACTCCCTTTGAAATTATCCATAATGAGTCACCTCATTACTCCTGCCTCAAGCCTTTTGGATGTTTATCTTATGCAACAAATGTTAGTCCTACAAAATCCAAATCCAGTTCAAGGGCACAAAAATGCATTTTTTTTTTTTTTTGGGTTTTGCTTTTGGGAAGAAGGCTTACCATTTATTTGATATATCTACTCAAAAATGCTTCTTTTTTTATTTTTTTCTCTAGGATGTCACATTCTTACCTCGTGAATTCCCTAATTCTCAGTCATTCACTATTACCACTACTTAAAATATTCCCATACTTTTACCACATGAAATACCCCACACAAATCCTACTGAAAATACCTCTTCATCTACCAGTGATTCTTCTCATGAGCCTAACACTATCCTACTAAAAGAACTAGAAAACCACCTATGTGACTGAATGATTATGAGGTATACTCTACCACAGATCCATCATCTCAGTTACCTGATAAACTTGTGAAACATGTTAGTTATAGTCCTACATATCATGAATACTTTCACCAAGTGTCTAACAGCAAAGAACCTACTGCCTATGATGAAGCTTGTACCCAAGCTAAGTGGGTGGAAGCCATAAATAAGAAGCTAGCAGCCTTATAGGAGAATAATACTTAGGAGATGACAGATTTACCTAAGGGGAAGAAGGCTATATGTAGTAAATGGGTGTTTAAGGTTGAACTAAAGATGGATGGGTCAGTGGAGATGTACATGACCTGGTTGGTGGATAAGGGTTTTAATCAGGTATTTTGGGATTGATTACATTGACAGCTTCTCACCAGTAGTGAAGATGGTAACTGTGAGATTCTTCATTGCTTTTGTCAAAATAAAA